CAGGCCGTGGCCAGGAGGGCGGCGCTGGACATCTGTGCTGAGCTTAGAGTCTTCCTTCATGCCAAATTACCTGACATGCCCCTCAGAGAAATGTACCTGAGTGGCAGTCTATACGATGAGCTGCAGGTGAGAGACCTCCAACCTTTCTGGTCCATTATTTTACCAAAAGTTGTTTTGTTTTAACTCATTTATTCAAACATAAATCTTCCACATCTCTCAGGTGGTTACTGCAGACCACGCCCAGCTCATGGTGCCTCTGATTCTGGAGAAGAACCTGTGGTCGTCCATCCCAGGAGAGGACACCATCATGAATGTCCCAGGTTTCTGGCTTGTTCGTCGGGAAAACTTAGAATATTTCCCACGGAATAGCAGTTACTGGGACCGCTGCATGGTCGGAGGTTACCTCTCTCCAAAATCAGTCCTTGAGGTTTTTGACAAATTTGTGGCCGGCTCCATCAACTGGCCAGCTATAGGTAGTGTTCTAGACTACGTTATACATCCTGTGGTTCCCTCTGAGACTCTGACGCTGGAGGTTCAGTACGAGACGGACAGGAAGCTGTTTGTGGACTTCCTGCCTTTACTTGTGATGGAAGACGGTACCTCGTTGATTGCTAAACCCCACCGACTGGCTGCAGAGCGCCACGAAAACCTGTGGCGCCAGAGCTTCCGTGTTGCTGAGACGGCCCGGCTCAGGGCGCTGGATCAGGAGGACGGAGGCTGCAGATGCACCTGTCTGAAGGTGACAAAGGCGGTGTGTAAACTCAACCCCGCCCTGAAGCAGCTAAACGCAAGCCAGCTCACCAACGCTATTTTGTTGTTGAGTGAAAGTGAACGTGACTGGACTCACGAGGCGCTGGCCGATCGTTTTCTCCAGCTGTTGCGAACACTAGTGGGACACCTAGAGGCCGGGAGGTTACCGTGTGCCCTGAGTCCAAAAGTGAATTTATTCTGTGAGCTCACTGAACAGGAGGTGGATGAGTTGGGCTACACACTCTACTGTGCACTCTCAGATCCCGGGGAGCTGCTGAGAACTGCAACCACGACAACCACGGTACTACACAGCACGTCTGCCAGTCACGACTAATTGAAACTGTAATCCTGTTTTTTTATGAGTAACAGTGGCCTCAAGTCAACCTGCGATTCCCTTATCGTCTGCATGAAATGCGTCCTCAAATAAAAAGACTAATTTATAAATCCCTTTGGGAATTTGATCCACAGATACAATCACGTAATGTTTGTGAGTTAAAACACAGTGGTGTGACCATCCAAAAATGTGTGTGTGTGTTGTCAAAGCAAAGACTAATTAGAGTTCACTGCTTTCACCAAAGTCATTGTAGAACTAAGGCAGCCTGACACACTGGTCAGGACGGAACCGAAGCCTGGATGGAGTCATATCATATACAAATGTTTATTTAACTGGAAATTTTAGGAACAAGAGGTTGTCTGATGCTCGAGTCGTCTGTGCCACTGTGTCCAGAGATTGAATGTAATGTTTGTGTCAATGCCAATATTAAAGTTAATAACCTGTTGCTCAGCCTGAAGGACTCAGAATTATTCAGGTGAAGATTATTCTCTTGTTAAAAGTACAAGGTTGGTAATTGTAATTCATGGGTTAATTATTCACGGACGGCTGTTGTGTGATATAAAGATCCAGAAAAGTAAATATTAGGATATGGTACTTTTTTAATTGTAAATATTAGGATAAGGTACTTTTTTTATTATTTGTTTTAGTGAGAAGCCACATTATTTCAACAGAGTTGGACCTAGACAAAAGCATGGTCATGTGACCCTCTGTCCAGTTCAGAGCAGCTCATTGCTTCACATCACTCTCTTGTGTTTGAACATGTGATATGCTTTGACTTTTTGGTTCCTTGTTTGTACATCTGAGCACATCATTGATTGGCTATGAAACAAACCAGTCCATCAGCCACGGTTTGGACCACTCCTTGATGTGGGTCACGTCCTATTATTTCAGTGTCTGTAGCTGCTACACAATCCATCCTTTATCAGCTGCATGAGGTGTGTTAACAAAAACCAGATGGTTATCAGCGTCCACTTTGACCCGTTTAAGTCGGATCGGCTGTTGTGTAACAAACCCTTTATGTCCAATTAGTCTGATCCTCAGCTGAGCTTCACTCAAATGAAAGTACACCGTGACCTCTCAACATCAGGTCACTGTTACTGTGCTGCAGCGTACAGAGTTGTAGCTGTTAAAGTAGCCTATTCAATGTGTTTAACTGTTGTTCACCGAGATCTTTAGCCTGTTTTCTGTTCACGTTGTAGCCTTAAAAATGAGAATAATACAGAGTTTAACCCTCGAGTCGTATGGAAATGTACATAGTAAATGAATTAGGGTTGTCTTTGTGTCATATTAAATAAAAATACACAACACATGAAAATAACAAGTAATTATTTTTGTATCCATTGTACATTTGTAACCAAAATGTTATTTATTGGTGGTGCGTTGGTTTGACATGGTCGTGAGTTGTTCAGGATGTATGGATAAAAACTGAACTTTTGTGTATGATGATCGTCTTCCTTTGCAGCTATGGTTTTAAGCACCAATTACTACTGTTAATGTAAAAACAAAAATCCAAAGTAGATCACTACCTCTACCTTGTGGAGTCTAGTCGAACCAGTTAAATGCTCTGTTGCATGCTTTGTCTGCTGGTTTTCTTTTCCCTTTTTGTGTTCAACTGTGGAGTTGAACAGTGCAGCACTTCTTTAATAAATAATTTAAATTATATTTTGTTCATCTTTCATAAATATTACACTTTATTGACTCAAATGTAAGGGACTTTGAAATGTACAGAAACAAGTTTATCATATAAAACATTTGTGAATTTCTTCCTAAAGCTGTTGTAATATCAAAGTATAAAAAATGCATAGATTTATTAACTAATTACTGAGAGCTGTGATGCTGAGGCTCAGGGTTAGAAGCAGAACCTGAAGCAGTCCTTTTGTTCAGATCATGAAATCTTTTTTTTTTTTATTTTTACGTTGGATTCGTACTTTCACTTCCTGTGAAAATGTTCACAGGCGTCATTCGCTCTCACGTGTCGTTCTCCAATTATTTGGCAGGAGCGAACCCCACACGGTCGGCGTTCCTGTCAAACACGGTGTAGTACTTTCCGATGAACACATCTCCCAGAATCCACAGGGGCCCAGCAGGAGGAGGGATATCCATGGCCATGAAGCCTGACAGACAGATTGATGTTCCCAGCTGAGTCTCCTGCAAACATCAAGATGATGAGGATGATTTACTGTCTGTCCAGTGTTACCAAGGAAAACACCAAGATGGTTATCTACACAGTTTACCTTCACGATATAATCGTCTCCGGTCAAGTTGAACATCTTCCCACCAATGTTGAAGGAGATGACCGGGAGAGATGGAATCTTCTTACAGTCAATTAAGTACTGAGGAGGAGGAGAGAGGTTTTAATGTCATCTATAAACAACAGGAAATGAAACAAAAGAAACTGATGAAAGTTGAACTTCCTGAACTGTACCTCTCCCATTAGCAGTGGCAGCGCTCCAATGGCTCTGTGCAGCGCTCTTATTTCCTCCCGAGGGCCAACCACGAGTGACGTTCCAGTGTCAACAATGGCCTGGCAACTGGCTTTGCACAGTGTCAGCTGGCTGCCAACTTCCACTCTGAAATGCAGGTTAGAGACGAGGCACAACAAACGTGTGAGAGAGACGGATTTACTTCCTTCCACGAGGTTAGAGACGAGGCACAACAAACGTGAGAGAGAGACGGATTTACTTCCAGCCTTTAAGACTCAAAGGACATGGATTTACTGTAATATCTGAGGCCATCACTGTGAGTCACATAAACACAGAGTGGATGAAATATGAGAACCATGTCACACAGCTACAACACAGAGTGCGTCAAGCCTTATGATCCCGGCTCCTTCAGACACTGAACGCCTTCTTCCTCACCCGTTCACTTCAATCTGCCAGTAAGCTTTGCGTGTGACGTTAACATAGTGAAGATCTCCACTGTAGTGCTGTGGATCCGTGCCCCCCAGGATCAGCTCTCCTCCCACTGCTGCTGATAGGTTCCTGGAGGAAGAGGTCAGACACGAGGTCAATGCACCTGTACATGGACATGTGATGCAGAGCAGTCAGAACCCCAGGAATATAAAGTCAGAACCACACCTGCTAATGTAAAAAGAGAAAATGTTCTCAGGCAGCAGTTTGGAAGCCATGGCTTTGTCAAACACTGGCGTGACATTGGCCACAGATATGGAGGGGTAGGCCATGCCCAAGACCCCATCGAAGCGTGCGACTGCGAATGTGATGCCAGGCTGCTTCACCGCCTCGGCAAACTGTTGACCAGGAACCGACAGTCCAGCCACCTACAGGAGAGAGGGGGAGGTGGCAGAGGAATGTCACCGCCGCAGGACAAACGGCTCTTATGATGAGATGATTCAAATGTCGTGACCGCTAACACTGAGGAATGCTGTTAGAGTGAACACTTACGGAGACCGTGTCCTCGCTGATGAAACCAGACAAGCTGCCTCGGCCGTACTGGATGGAGAACTCTGTGCCGTTCTGCACGTACGTGCTGGACTTTTTGGAGTTGTAGCGGTGGTGAAGCCCTGGTGGGAGAAAAAGAAAGTTACACTGAAGTTTTTATTTTATTTTAAAAACACAGCACATCATCTACACACATCCATCTGAACACATAAGAATATGTTGTCAACACAGCACATCATCTACACACATCCACCTGAACACATAAGAATATGTTCTCTATGCCTCTAAACTACTGCAAACATATGAACTGTTGTTTTTGTCTTTGTTTTTTTAGCTAATTCCTGACCATCACACTGTTCACGTGCTACTCTCTCCGTGTGACACTGATTGGATAAATAGAAAGGCCTGCTTCTAGACAGGAACACAACGGTCACACTGTATTTAAAAACTCTGACGTGACAAAAACAAACAATCGTGTTCATGTTTGAACAGACCACAGGAGACTTTCAGACAGGAAGTGAATGCATTTACAGGAAGACCTCTCACACATGCACAACACAAACTCACAGCAGGCCAGATCAAAGAAGGAACAGTGAAACGAAGGGATCCACAGGTTGGAGGAACCGGTGTCAAACAGCACAGTGAAGTCCTGTGGGGGAGTACCGATGCTGATCACACCGTAGTACGCAGCCTGAGGGGGAAAAAAAAGAAGAATGGGTTCTTTAAGCAGTGGCTGTATGGAAACGTACAACAACATTATGATTCACCCTAAAAAAGTAGCTTCAAATCTTAGCTATGTAGCAGTGACTTGGAGTTAGCAGCGTGGTGCTAAACAGAGTAAGGATGAAAGAATGTGGCAGTTGTTTCTACAACGTTGTGTAATGTTGGCTGCAATGATAGAAGAGTAAAAAAAATAAAAAAATAAACAAAGTCAGAATATCAGTCAAACTGTCAGTCAGAGGAGTAGCAAATTATGGCTTTATCTAGTACAGTGATTCTCAACTAGTGGGTCGTGGGCCTTTGCCTTCATCTATTCATACTCCTTACAGGTGGATGGCGAGTGAATAAACTCTGAAACCTTTTAAGATGACGACATCATTTGTTGCCATTGTCCTTCAGTTCCTCTTTCACAGAAGGAAGACGCCACAACGACGCACTTTACTCAAATTAAGTCTTCAGACCTACAGTGTTCCCCTTAATTTAAAACGGGTTTCCTGTGTGACTTCGCAGTTTCGAATACTTCTGAGTACAGACGCTTAGTGGTTGCACGTACATCCATGAAGTTGATTAGTCTTTCCACGGGCAGTCCGGAAGGAGGAGGCTTTTCCTCGGGGCCGACGGTTTGAGCCAGAGCCCGCAGCTCCGTCAGAGACATGCCGTTGTCACTCATGAGGCGACGCAGGCTTCTGGTTTTGTGGAGAGGAACCCTGCAGAGGGACATTTAAGTGACATTCGAAAAGTTCAGGTTGGTGCGCGGAAGCACCGACGCCATCAATTCTAAAGCTGAAAATATCGTTCATTGATTATAAACACGTGGAGCGAGTAAAAGGGCATTAAAAACCGTTAAAGGAACAAACAAATACACTCGATTTACACTCGTAGTGACGCTTTAAATCAAACAATAGCGAGTAAAAGGGCATTAAAAACCGTTATAGGACACAAACAAATACACTCGCAGGCGTAAATCATATGTTAGTGATGCTTTTAATCAAAAAAAATATTCTTATATAGGCCTATATTAACTGATAAAGTTTACCTGATAATAGCGACACTTTGTGTTACCAGCAGGGTTCCAAAGATAAGGTGAAATATCCCCAGTCGCGCCATGTCTGTGCTGATAATCAACAGTAACGGTTTACCGTTGTTACAAGAGAGAAATTCCAATATTTCAACTCACGCAGCGCAAAGTATTAGCGTCTCGGCTTTTATCGTTTATACTCGTCCTTTTCCGGCGTCAAGTTCAGTGATTGGAGGATGCTGAGAAAGACGTCTCGTCATTGGTGAAAATAGAAAGCTACCACTTCCGCATGCGGACGCGCCAGGTTTGTGCGCGTGTAGCGTGTTTGTGAGTGTGTGTGTGTGAGAGAGAGAGAGAAAGAGAAAGAGAGAGAGAGAGAGAGAGAGACGGGTCACGAGTTAGTGTGACGACATGATAAGCGAGTACCAACAGTAGCCACAGTGTATGTGGTAGAAAGTACACATTCTTCAGACATTGTGGGAAATGAAAGTGATATGATAATCATATATGATAAACATATATGAAAGGGAAATTTTTGACAAATATATTTAATTTATTCTTTTGGTAAGTACTCTACCAATACCTCCACAGTAACTAACTGCTAGGTTTTGTGGTTCATACTGAGAATGCATGTTCCCCCTTGTGTGTGCGTGGGTCTTTTCCAAGTACTTCAGCTTGCTCTCAGACATGGAACAGGAACTCTTACGATGGACCAGCAAACTGTTCAGAAAAGAAAAGAAAAAACATCGAACCTAGATGTACATATTCCCATAGACCACTAGGGACCCTCCCATTTAAAGGAGTAAAGGGGTAGGAGTAAGGAGTAAGTCCAAACATCTGCACACTTTGTCTTGTTTATTCTTGTCGCCAGTCATGTTTTACTTCTATAAACCTAGGAAAAAATATGAATTTATATGTAATATATTGTTTAATATTTGATAAAAAGTGAGTTTATTGTTTCAGATTCACCTCAGCCAATATACATTCCATTCCCATCTATCAACAGGGTGCCCTCTGACTCAGTCACTGCAGTAATACCTCGCCTTACTTGGCCTGTTGAACAAGTTTCTGAGGTGATCAATGGCATAGACGACACGGACTCTCTAAATGATGCACACGCACACACAGTCAGGTGACGAGCCCAGGAGAGAGTTTTCCAACCTCAACCTTGACCACTAAATACAACTTCATTACTAAACTGTTTGTTTGTTTGTCTGCATGTGTGTTGCCGTTCAGGTGTCAGTTTTTTTAACCTTTGCCTGTGTTCCACTTTTGTGTTTGTGTGGGTTTATGTTGTCACTTTAGCAGAAGCAGAATCCACCCATTAATTCCTTCTCTCTGTTGTCTCCGTTCTGGAGACTCACACACCCCTTCAGCCCTTTTATTCCATGTAAGTGTCAGAGAATGACACGGAGAGAAAGAAAAAACGCAGAGAGGGAGGAGCCGGCATCCATGGCATCTGTAGACTGACAGGAGTTCAGGCATGTTCACACACTGTAGAGTCACTGGGATTTCACCAGGCTCACACTCACACTGTTATGTGTTAATATAAACATAACGTAGGACCACCTGGAATATTAATTCAAAGAGGACGGCTAACCTGGGCGCAATGATGGTAAGAATAATTTCTGCCATTTGTTTAGACAAAGTGGTCTGCGTCTCATATGTATGCTTTCAAAGTGGTCGGCATCATGGCTGCTGCCACTGAAACAACGTACAAAACCAAAACATGAAAGAATTGTGTTTTTTCGTAAAACACACAGTTTCGTGTTTTGTCTTCTCGAAAACATTTTGATTTTAAAGTCTTACAGGTTTGTGTTCTCTACCTGTGACAACATGTTCAGCCAAACCCACTGAATGACATCAGGTTAAACACATCAGCTCCAGTGAACACCTTGCCAAAACAGTCTTATTAAAAAATAAAAGAGCAGAAAAGTCCATGTCATTACGATAACTACACCTAACAACAGGACAAACAGGCGACGTGACCCTGTAAACAGTGCAGCACCTGACGATTCTGGCTTTACTGCTGAAGTTGTACCTTTTCATTTCATTACCTGTTTATAATAATATTTTTTAGATGTTGTCTATAAAAGCGCATCTTAATTAGATGTTTGGGGGGGAAAAAATCTGATCTGAGCTTCTGTTTGTTTTGGACGCAGACCATGGCTTTGACTCTGATGTTTGTTCAGACATGAGAGAATGTGAATTTAAGCACTGGCAGACATGAGATGCTGGGTTAGTTCAGTGAATACATGGCTTATGCAGGGACAATAAAAGTGAGGATGGTGGCGTGTTTTACTATGAACCTTATGCTCTGCAATCAGTTTCAGTTGAATACTAATCCTGTCATTATTGAACCCTGTAGCCTCCAAAACCTCCCAGGAAAAGCTTGATAAAGTCCAATATCAATAGTTATGACGTTCCAAAAGCAGCCTGCAAAGAAGTGGATACTACAGAGGTATTGGAACATGTGTTTTTATTAGTTATCTCACAATAATATTTTTATGGTTATTCTGTCACATTAGTGGACATGCAGACATTTAGACGCTGCCTCGTGGTAATTACTTTAGTCATAACTAGACTGACTTCCTTTCACTTCTCACAGCCTGCAGTAGCTGATGAAATCCAGTCAGAGGTTAAATTCAAGCCTGTACCTCGCCCCAGATCCAAAATACTACCAAAAACACAGAGCAACAGCACCACCAACGCTGCAGTCGACCCTGTGAACGGGAATGAACCCAGCAAGGAAACCAACACAGTGGTGAGTGGATCAGGTTGGACACTCAGGTTGGTAAAACAAAGCCATCACTTAGCTGGCATCTGTAGATGATATCCCTTTATTGACAGAGCTCCCAGCACGAAGAACAGCCTGCAGACAAACCTTGTCCTGGTCGGCCACCTCCGAGACCACCAGTCCCCAAAAGCTCTCCCTATAGTGTCGTGACAGCAGCTGTTGACGGAGGGCGCCAATGCGTGACTTTATATTCAGAGTCAAATGTGAAGGTAAATGATCATTTGTCCTTACACGACTCACACCTGTTGTCACTGCGCTAAATTGTGTTGCTTCATTTTCGTTCGTTTGCCTTTCACAAGGTGACCGGGGTCAATTAAAGGTCACTTTTGAAATTGTTTTATTGTTTACTACAGGCATGGCCAAACCCCTGGCTCACACGTGTGGCTCTTTGCCCTGGTTCATGCGACTCTTACGTTCATGTTGTTGGTCATGTGTTTGGTTGTTTTTTACTCTGTGTGAATCTCATGCCAATGGGTGTTGACGCAAATGACTTAAGGAAAAACTAATTCCACAGATGAAAAGATGTGCACACGAAGTTTAAACAGAGTAGGAGAGTTTTGATATTGATTCATTATATTATTTTTTCTGTGATTCTTTTCCTGCAAAGCTACAACAAAAATCACTGCTTAGGAAAGTGCCACCCACTGTGGCCTTTTTTGGGGTAAATTGAGTTCAGTTTATTGTTGAGAACATTTGTATAGTGTGTGTGTGAGTGTGTGTGTGTGTTTCAACATGTACAAAATTGCAATTATTTGTCATCTTCTGAGATATAATCTGTCATTTTATGCCAGGGAAATATTTTGACTTGTCACAACAGGTGACAACAACTAGTGGGACTTTCACATGAAAAGACACAGTATGTCTTGCGACATGACAGCATTTATGTCTTTTCCTGCCAGTCCAGTTCTGGTGCCTACCTTAATTACTTGTTTGTACCT